TGTGAGGCATAGTGCTTTGACAAGTTCACATTTTTTAGCTCTTTTTTTTTTTTTTTTTTAAACAATCAGGCATCTATAATAATATACACCACCAAAGGGCACATTCTGCAAATCGGCCTACCATCCACCATCTCTTACTCCCTCTCTTCCCATGAGTCCTCAGCTGCTCCCTTTGTCCATGTCCCCATCTCCGCCTCCATCTCTAGTATCGCTGCTTCTCTGGATAAGGGCTCGCATCCCGCTTGTGCTCTTCTCCCTTGATGGCCTTAGGGTCCTTCGTCTCTGGACTATAAGATTAATCCCTCCCCCGTATTTGCTTTTTTTTTTTTTCTACAAAACTTCTATCTTTATAATTGTGACAGTTGCAATTAGTCATGATAACAATTACTCACTATTGAATCATAAGAATCTTATCCCCATCTCTTTTGACTTAGCCCATGCAAACCTATCTCAGTGTTCCCTATCTGCCGTATTCTTCCACCTCGTCACCCTTCTTGTATTGTCCTCCCCATCATCTGCACTATGATGTGTCTGCCTTTACCTTGTGCTCTACCATTGTATCCCTTGACCTCTCCTGAAACCCCCCACCCCAATCAATCCCACCATTGTGGTTACCTTATATTCCTTTAACTTTTCCCTCCATTTAAGACAGACTATTTTAACCTGTAATTTACCTGCCCTTCCAACCTCTGTTCCAGTGTATTTACCTTCTTTCACATTGTAATTTGTTTGATCATAGACTGATCTCCCAAATCCTCTGAATTTGTTCTGATAGTTTTATTCTGTTCTCAACTCATTTGTCAACTGACTTCCGAGTGATGATGCCACGTACGTCAATCTCTGGTTGTTGTCTGTTCTTGTTAGTTCTTTGTCCGAAGAACTCCCTTTAAGATGTTTTTCATAGCAGGGTTGGCTTTGGAAAAATACCTTAGCTCCTGTTTATCGTGGAATGTTTAGATTACACCGTTGTATTTGATTTACAGCTTTGCTGGGTAGAGGATTCTTGGTTGGCAGTTTTTTTCTTTCATATGTCTCCCCATTGCCTTCTTGTCTGAATGGTTTCTGTTGAGAAATCCGAGCTTGGTCTGATTTGCTTGCCTTTATATGTTGCACTCCTCTTTACTCTAGCTGCCTTCAGGATTCTGCCCTTATCTTTGATTTTGGAAAGCTTGATTATTATATATCTCAGTGTTTTTCTTTTAGGGTCTATCCTTCCTGGAGTTCATTGAGCTTCTTGGATGCTGATCTTTTTACTTTTCAGTATGTTAGGGAAATTTTCTTCTAGAAGTTCTTCAACTGTCTCTTCTGTGGACTTGTGTGATTCTTCCTGTTCTGGAATGCTGATAATTCCTAAGTTATTCCTCTTCGTGTTGTCCAGCATGAATCTTAGACCTTCTTCATAGTTTTTAATCCTTTTTTTCTGTTTGTTCTTCTGTCTTCGTGTTATTGAGAGATATATCTTCCAGTTCACTAGTTCTAGTTTCCATCTCTTCAGTTCTACTCCTTTGCCCTTTCAGTGTATTGTCCATTTCTGATATTCTATTATTAATTGTTTGGACCTTTTTCTGTAGGTTTTGAATTGTTTCCAATGCTGTATCTATCTTATTTGATTGTTCCTGTAGTGCTTTCCTGACTTCTTCCTTATTTTTCTCAAATCCATTGTAAAGTGTTTTGATACATTTTATAATCTTTGTTCTGAATTCACTCTCGGGCATTTCCAAAGCCTGCCCTCCTTCCAGTATGGAGTGTACTTCTACCTCCAGCTCATTTGTCTCAGTCATTTTATCTTGTTTCTGGACATGTGCTGATATGGTCATTTGTTTTTGTTTTTTGGGTATATTGGTGGTTAGTTGTGGCCTTAAAACTTAGATGGATATGTGTTTTGATTTTTTTTTTTTTATGTTTTCTGATTGCCTCCAGGTAGATGTGATCAGGAGATGGGCTTCCCTCTTCACTTTTCCTCCTGAAAAATTTCAAGATGCCACTGTTGGTTGTTATGATGTAACTCAGGATTTAATTTTCAGCCTGTTTCTTTTTCAGTCTACCTGTCCTGCTCAAAACCCCCGTTCAGGTCTTTTTCCCAGTGATAAACATTTCAAGGCCAGCTGTGGCGGTTTTGCACTGCCATTTGTTTTTAAGTGGAAACTGTCCCTTTAAATTTTGAGGAGATCTGTGCACCTGCATAGTAGAACCATCTGGGGGTGGGGGTGGGGTGTCCACTCGCTTGGGTACACCCTCTAGTCACCAGAATGGAGGTACGCAGCCAGCAAGAGGCCAATAAACAGATATGAAAAAAATAACGTCCATACCTTTATCTCTGTGGTTTTGTCAGGCATCCATGGCTGCTCTGATCCTTCCCCAGTTTGGTCTCACCCAAGATGGCTACTCAGGGAGCAGCTGAGCACCTTGGATTAGAAAGCACGGATTTCTTGGTTCAGCTATAAATTCCACTGGCTGTAGGCCTTCCAACTTTCTAAATATTCCTTTATAAGTGGTTCAGAGTTCTGGCACCATTCCCTGAGCCTGCTTGGTCCAATATTCTGTGTTGTTGCTGATGGAGCTCCTCACTGTACTTGCACTGGATCCACCATCTTGTTTGTTCCCCATCGTTTAACTTTTAGTCTGTTTTTGTCTTTGTATGTAATGTGTGTCTCTTTCAGGTAGCATACTGAAGGGTCTTAACCATTTAGCCACTCTGTCTCTTCACTGGTGCATTTAATCCATTGACAGTCAGTGTAATTATCAATAGGTATGGAGTAAAGGCTGTCATTATGTTAATTTTTTATGATGCTGTTTGTTCCTTTTTTTCTGCATGCCTTCTTGTGCTGAGTTCATGTTTTTTTGTGCTATTTTGTGTCAGTTTCTTCTTAGTTTAATGTTTCCTTGTTCTGCTTGGATCTTCATTTTCATGGTATGTTGTGAAGTATTAATTGTCTTTGAGGTTACCCTATAGTCTATTAAGTTTTACCTGCATCTAAGACAGTTTATTGTATCCTGCCATCTACTCGACCTTCTCACTACGTGGATCTCTGTTCCTGTATTTTTCCCTTCTTTGATATTGTTAATAGTTTGATCTTTGGTTGGCCTAACAGGTCCTCTGAATTCATTGTTGTACTTTTGTTCTGTTCTCAACTCTGCTATCCATCAACCTAGTTCTAGGTGGTATTACCACATCTGTCAATCTCTGGTTGTTGTCTGTTTTTGCTGGTTTTCATTCCAAAGAACTCCCTTTAGGATGTTTTGAAGCACTGGATTGGCTTTAAAAAAATCTTTGAGCTTCTGTTTATCCTGGAATGTTTTGATTGTACCATTGTATTTGATTGACAGTTTTGCTGGATAGACAATTCTTGGTTGGCAGGTTTTTTTCTTATACGTCTCCCCACTGCCTTTTTGCCTGCATGTTTTCTGCTGGGAAGTCAGAGCTTAATCTGATTTACTTGCCTTTATAGGTAACACTTCTCTTTTCCCTGGCTGCATTTAGGATTCTCTCCTTGTCTTTGATTTTGGAGACTTGATTATGATATGTCTCAGTGATTTTCTTTTGGGGTCTATCCTTCCTGGGGTTCATTCAGCTTCTTGAATATTTATCTTCTCATCCTTCAAGATGTTAGGAAAATTTTCTTCCAGAAGCTCTCCAACTATCTTTTCTTTGGACTTCTGTGATTCTTCCTGTTCTGGAATGCCAATAATTCTTAAGTTATTCCTTTTCATGTTATCTAGCATGAATCTTAGACTTTCTTTGTTGCAGACCATGTAAAGCTGGTCAGAAGTTCGAGGCCCACTGGGCCTGAGTGTTGCAGACAATGCAGGCCACAGGCTCTGAGGAACAGATTCTGGCCACCGGGCAGTCATAGCAAATTGTTTTTCATCTTAGTGTTCAGTTATGTTTTTTTATTTATTTCCAGACTTGAGCCCTTACTATCCACAGATAAATGTAATATTTTCCTAGAGCCGAGACTGTAAAGGTTTCAAGGTTAAACCTTTCTCCAAAGGATTAACTAAAAATAGCTTAGCTACTTCCCGGTTCTTTGTTCTATAGACAAAAGGACATCCTCCCTAAACCTGTCCCAGGTGCAGGCTATTCAGCCAAAGTTCCTGAAAACCTGGCTCAGGAAGCCAAAACAGCGGGACTCCTCCCAAGCCTTTTGTCCTTCCCTTTCACCTTCCCCCAACTGAGCTCAAGGGCTATAGATATGTTAATTGAACCTGAGAAATCAAGTTGCGGGCCTGGGATTCAAACCAGCGAAGTACGATGTAAAGTTGCCTGAATGTCTGGAGAATTACGTATGCTAGCTGTACCTTGTCTTGGTCCCTCCCAGCTTGGTGTGAAGCTCCTCCCCTAAATAAAACGGAGACGCAGGCCGGTCCAGGTGTGCATTACAGGCAGGCGGTGAAAGCGAGCACTACAGCTTGCAGGTCATGCATTACAGTCATGCGGTAGAGCGTGCTATACGGCTGTCTAGGCATGCGTTACTGACCAGCTAGTAAGGGGTGCGTACCGCCCGCTTAGCTAAGATGTTTACTATGTGGGATCTTACTGCCCTCCTGGCTAATATGTTCACCACGCCTGATCTGCCGGATGCCAGTAATGCATCCACCCTGGTTTTGGGATGCCTCTTTGTCTCTCTCTTCGTGTCTTTCTGTGTATTTTTCTGTTATCCTTATCGCTGCCAGATATCCCCTCCTCGTGAACCAAACACTCGTGAACAGCCAAACAACTATGTCGAGGCCAGTCCTTGACATTTCTTTAGACTTTTAAATCCTTTTATCTGCTTGCTCTTCTGTCTTATCAGTATTGAGAGATTTGTCTTCCAGATCTCTGGTTCTGGCTTCCATCTCTTCCATTCTACTCCTTTGCCCTTTCAGTGTATTGTCTATTTCTGATATTTTGTTATTAATCATCTGGACTTCTTTTTGCAGGTTTTTGTTTCCGATTCCATATCTATCTTGTTTGATCACTCCTGTAGCACTTTCCTGACTTCTTCCTTATTTTCCTCCACCCCTTTTTGGACATTTGAATTTATTTCCATATCATTCTTCAGATTTTTTCTCAGGTGGATCCAGAGCCTGCTCTTCTGCTGGAAAATATGTGTCTGCTTCCAGCTCATTTGTCTCAGTTACTTTTTTCTGTTTTTGGACATGTGTTGAGATCTTTAACTGTGTTTTCTTGGACATTTTCAGTAGTTTTGTGGGAATTTAATGCTTAAGTGGATGCATGTTGCTTTGTTGTTAAGCTTACTGAGCATCTCCTGGTGGATATGATCTGGAGATAGGCTTCCCTTTTCACATGTAATGCCTAGCAGCTGGTATTGGCTCTTGTCCAGATTGTGGGGTATTACAGGGTATGATAGTAGCTTGGCTATATGTGCACAGTTGCTGTCTCTTCTTAGGTAAGTTAGGGTGAGAAATCTCCAACCACTGGGGAAAGAGTGAGGACAAAAGGACCAAAGACAGAAACAACATAAAAGCAGATACAGAAACCACCAATCAAAAACAAAGATAAAAATTGTGATTGACTGTCCAGTGGCCTTTTCTGTGCAGGCAGGTATAAAGGGTCCCACCCAGGTCAATTTTGGGGCTGGTTCCCAGAGTCAGACATCACAAGAAGCAGCCTGCGGGTTTCCTCTCTGTGTCGTGGGAAAACTGTGGGTGCAATGCTGGACCCTTTTAGGGGTATGCTCCCATGTCTTGGCTGGACAGCAAGGGCATGATTGGAATGAAGAGGAAAGATACATGAAAAATGAAAAGTGAGAGATGAAAAATTGGTCACACCTCTCCCTCCAGACACTTAGCTCCACACCTTCTAGTGCTGGGTCACTGCTTCCACTTGGCTGTGGCCCTGCCCTCTGAGCTCAGGACCTCTGGCTGGCGGGATAGATTCAGCCGGGATCGATTCAGAAATCACTGTATTTTGTTTCCACAGGGAGATTTCTCCATAGGTGGGCACAGGTAACTGGTGCCTGGAACCTTAAACAAGATCCAAAACTCTGCAGCTGTTCTTTCTCTGCTTTTCTGGGTTTTAGCAGAGGACCTTTCACTATTTTTGTCTCTGCTTACCCACCCCCAAACCAGAAGTCCCCTTGTCTTAAAGTTTTAAGGGCATAGACTGATGTTATATTATAGGTGAAAGAGAAACAATGGCTTTAATATCTACTGAAACTGCTGTAACAGGAAGTTTATAGTATTTCCTAATTCTGCTTTTAATAAACAAATCTTATAATAATGTTATTCTGACTTTAAAATATTTTGAACTTTTCCTAGAAAAATCTAGTTCAAGGTTATGAATTCTCTATATTAGTTTGGTGAGATAATGTCACTAGTAAAAGGAAAGTATCTAAATAGCTATCAAAACTAGAACTTAGTTTTGAAATACATTTTTAGTAGCAGGTTGTCTTAGGCCAGATTTTCTAGAGTGGCAAAACCAGTGAAACATATATATGTATGTTGTTGTTGTTAAGTACCATGGAGTCGGTTCTGACTCATAGTAACCCTGCACAGGGTTTCCAAGGCTGTAAACCTTAACTATAGCAGAAAGCCTCATCTTTCTCCCGTGGAACAGCTGGTAGTTTTGAACTGCTGACCTTGAGGTTAGCAGCCCAATTCGTAACCACTACGATATGTATGTTGTTGTTGTTGTTGTTATGTGCCGTGGAGTCGGAACCGACTCATAGCGACCCTGTACAGGGTTTCCGAGGGTGTAAATCTTTACGGGAGTAGAAAGCCTCATCTTTCTCCCGCGGAGCAGCTGGTAGTTTCAAACTGCTGACCTTGCGGTTCACAGCCCAAGTCGTAACCACTACGCTACCAGAGCTCCTTGTATGTATAGAGAAGTTTATTATCAAGGTAAGAACTTATAATTGCAGAGTTCCAAATCCCCATTGAAGAGAGAGAGAAAGTCCCTCCCACATGTCCATTATAATGGGAGCAGGCCAAACCACCAAGGAAGCATCCCTTCAATTGATTGACTATTCAGAGCCACTCATCATAGAATTAAACTAAGCTTGTGTTAGGTTTCATCACCATAGGAATAAGCAAATCCTGGCTTAGTCAAGTTGATACAAAACCCTAACCTTTACCCAGTTGATCCTTTCTTTCTTGCTGCATTGTTTTGTTTTTGTTTTTCTTTTTTTTACATTTTTTCATCTTTTATCAAAGGACCACTCAGTTTGCTACAGTGACTGCATTTTCTACCATGAGAAAGAAAACCAGAGTTTGCACTATGACTTTAGCAACCTCAGCAGTATTGGCTCCTTAATGAATGGCCCAAGTTTCACCTCTAAAGGAACAAAATACTACCATTTCTTCAATATCAGTTTATGTGGACATGAGGTGAGTTCTGGCTGTCAAGGTGAGATGTAGCTATTTTACATTTTGGATTGATATTTTCTTGTCTAATGGACCAGTAATGTTTCTTTGGAAACTTACAATCAAGTGTCAGAAACTGAGCTTTGATTATTTGAACCCTCTGTTGGCTCCAAGCACATTGGCATCTTTTCCCATCAAATGCAACCTTGCCTGCTTCTCAATCTATCAAAGCACTTATCCAGTCAGTTGAACCCCAAGGCTTACAGCTATGTAAGTGCTTTATGGAGCTTTCATTTTTTCTAAAAGTGGGTCAGACTTGCCAATCCCAGCTATTTCTCAGTCAGGCAACTCTAGTGTGAAAGTTTTACTAGGACTTATATCATCAATTTTGTTTTAAAAAATGAAAAAAGACTTAAAAGAGGACAATTATCCAAAAATAAAAAGGAGGTATGTAGGTGACAAATGTCATTTCATTAGGTAAGCCTTTGTTAATAAAATACTGTAAGCAATGGACTTTTATGTTTTTTGAGAATCATTGGAACCTTAATTGATACTGGTGGTGGGCAGAGTCAGAGAACCCTTATGCTAAAAATCTTTTTGAATACATAGAATGGGGTTGGGAAGTACGTATACACCATTAACAAGAGTGAAAAACTAAAATAGGATGTTTTTTCATATCACTATTTAGACTCCTGTATCTCTAATTTTCTTTCTTATGAGAATATGGGCCAAACTTTGTGCAAATATAAGCATATCTAATAATGACAGCAGTTTTCAAGCAAAAGGATCTATAGATTTTACATGGCATGATATTTGTCCTGTCCTGACATTACACAGGGTAATCTAACACTTTCACTTGATTGATCAGTAACTCAGTTCACTCCACAAATTAATAGATATTGAGTACATGTTATGTGCCCAATAGATGTGAAGTAGTGAATAAGATTAAGTTCATTATGAATCAAATTTCTCAATCTTATTTCCATATTACCAATACCTCTTCTGTCTTTTTTACTCTCCTCCTCTGTCATCCTTCTCTTTTCTTTTACTTAATACTTCTTCTTATTTCTTAATGTTTTCTTCCACCACTAATCTGTCAGTTTGTTGTACATGGTGGCTTGTGAGTTGCTGTGATTCTGAAAGCTATGCCACCGGTATTTTAAATACCAGCAGGGTCACCCACAGTGGACAGGTTTCAAATGAGCTTCCAGATGAAGACAGACTAGGAAGAAGGAGAGACGAACTACTTCCAAATATTTAGTCACTGAAAACCTTATGAATAGCAGAGAAACACTGTCAGATATACTGCCAGAAAATGAGTCCCTCAGGTTGGAAGGTGCTCAAAATGTAACTGGGG